GTTGCCGGGCGGCATGTGTCGGCTTCTTCTGCAGCTATCTTGAAACTCGACAGTCTTCGGCGCGCTGTGGGTGTGTGATACTCTTATCTTATATTTGAAATATGGGGTTGTTTCTACAGAAATAGAAGAGACAAATTATGAAAATGAGTGGCCTTAAGTCAGAATGAAGTGACGTTCGATTCTTTTTGAGAAATAAAGAACTGAAGTTATAGTTAATGTATATAAATGTGCTTGCATAATGAACTTTTAAATTGTACATTTTCAGTCTTTCAGCACATGTTTTTACTCGGATTACATCAAACCTATGGAAATAGCTCAGTTTTATAAACATTCTTGTAATGATCCTGTTTAAGAGTCTTTTCTACAATATACTGCCTCCCAGGACCATGCACTGGCATAAGCCCCATATTATGATTGATGAAAGACTACACGATACTCACGACTTTGATGTACATTCTAATACTACTTCCAGACAATAAATTCTTGGATAATTTTCTCGGTATGCTCCACAACGTTGTTGCATTGGTCTGGCGATACTTAACAAAGTAAATGGCACCAAATAAAAACAACTTCAGTACATTTATCATACTCCCCATCCTCTCAGGGTTTTTTTTATTTTTTCCTCATTATTTTCTGTGAAGTCTGTCCTGATGTTTTGCAGTTCTCAGGCTATTCCTTACTAAAGAAGTAAATGATTACACATCATAATTAGTTATTTTCGGGTTTGAAGGCCGTGGTCCAAAGGAGACTGGTCCATACGTTTCGCCTGCAAAGATCAATTAATGATTACACATATTTACAGTTATTAATAACTAAACTGATCACTGCTAAGGTCCTTTCTCCTTTCACTTCCCTGGGTGGAAGAGGGGAAAGCCATTCCGTTTTAGAAGTTAATGGCGTTCAGAGTGGATCGAGAAAAGGTGTAGGATACAATCAAGCGCTTCTCTTAATTTTATGATAACCATCGAAAATAGTTTTAATGTACAGATAAAAATTGCACATACATTGTAGATTTAAAAAAACACATTTTACCATTTTTATAAAATGTGGTTATAAATGTAGAGACATCACATATTGATACAAGTGAATTTAAAACGATCAATTAAACGCGTTAATGTTAAAAATGTAATTAAGAAGTAGAAAATAAAATTACTGATGGACAAGAACAAATTATTCTGCCCTTTCACATTGGGAACAAACGAAATCATCTAATGTAACGTTATGAAATAAGACTAGTTACAACATGCGCCAGGAACGTCTCTTCACACCGAGCCGAACCAGGGCCTCCTATTACAAATTGCATTTATTTTGCTAGCAACCCGATCACTGGGAAACAAGTAAAGGGGGGTAAAGGGGTAAACAAGTAAAACGTCCAGGATCTGTTATTATTATTATGGCGAGTACGCGATGTACATCCGTTTGTTACGTGCTGCAACTAGAGCTACTAAAATTTTTTGTTGCTAGCACACTCGCCAGCAACGTGCCATGGCGGAGAGACTTTCCTGACGCACTATACGTTGTATCATTCTACTTTGTGCTTGAAAGTTGGGTATCGGCAGAGGCAGCGTTGCTGCGTTTAATTGCGCTTGCCAAATTCTTGAATTTTCTGAAGCTAAATACTTTAGATTTCAGGACTTTAAATATATTTTAATCCGATACCTACACTATCGGGATACTTAAAAGGTGAAATTTTGATTTGGGGATCACAAAAGCGGGGAAGAGGTGCTCGGTTTTACACGACGCTCTATCCCTTACATTTATTCCTTCCGAGTTGGTGGCAGCAAGAGTAGAATACATCACCACTGGAAAAGCTGGTGCTATTGACTGTCTTTAGGAAACCACTGTTTTTGTCATCACGTGTGTCTCAAAGGTCAAGCGCAAAGAAGTTTGATACAAAGTGTAGAGATGATACCTATGTCATAAGTGTGTTTCTAAGAGATTCACATGTAAATTGTCTCATGTTTATATTTATGTATTATAGGGATATAAAAGTAATTGTCATTATAGAACTGTTACGTATTAGTGAAGTTTCTTAGTATTAGTTTATATGGTCAATGTGAACATGATAACTCGTGTGTGTGTGTGTGTGGTGTGTGTGTGTGTCATATATATACTATATATGCGTATATTGTTCGAATTCAAGTTTTGTTATCGTATGTTTATCATTGATGGTTTGTTATCCTTTAACAAATATTGAAATGTTTTCAGGTACTTGATGAGCACTAAGTTAAGTGACAATGTATTAAAAATAACTTTTTTCAATATATTTATTTTATTTTTGTTCTAGATATTCCTGATTAAAATTCACAGTATGATTTTTGTGTACGATTTTTGTAATGTTTAAACAATAAAATTTGAAGTGTTTTTATGTGTTGTTTTTTTATTTTCCTTATACGAAGAGACTTCTCATATAAGAATACCATTGACTTTGTAGATCACATCCACCAATATGACATATTAGATCATTTCTGCGCTAGTTAAATGTGGCATCGCCGACGCTGTAAACGACCCGGTTTTCATGTGTTGAAAATTTCTTTCATGCATAGCTTTGTTCATATATGTTCTTACAGTATCTGGCGTTTGACTTGCCAATGAATCGTAGTAGCTTATAATGTCAAACTTCCCTTTAAAAATGTCATCATCCAATGGCCTAGTATTTTAGCTGCATACAGGATATGAACAGGTAGTATTGATGCGAATAATTAGTTTAATACAGCTACATTTTTACGATTTTTGTTAATATGCACAATAATACACAAAGATCGCGTGTAAGCTATTCTTCTGAGTTATTCTCTAATATTATCATTCTCAATTTGTTCCGAAAATTCTGTCTTTAAAATATTCTGACTACATTTGATCCTTCCCCGGAGTTTCTTATCACTTCCAGATTTTCTCCCCTAAATTGTGATGAGATCCGCGAACTCAATCTAATTTGTGTTTACTTCGAATTATACATATACTCTATTAATCGTTTTATATGCGAATCTCTATTAACATTAAAAGGCAACTTTTGTATGATTATGTGAATAACGAATTTGTTAATTTTAATGAGAAGTTTTGGATCACATTCATTTGAAAATCGGTATTTGTACAACTAAGAACGTAAAAGTGAAAAGTTCAACGTAAGAACATTCATTATCCAATATTACTCAGTTTTATTTTCTCCGTGTTCGCTTGAAATTCTTCAAATTTAACAACTTCCAAGGCAATAATGTTCGTAGGTTTTTTTAATTTTTTTTTAAATATGCTATTATCCAGACTTTTAAAAAATATGGATAAATATTAAAACGAAATATGCCGCGCGATTCACATGTTCAAATTAACTTCATTGTTCACTTAGTTGTCAACATCAGTGTTGCCATCGTCATGAAAAGTATGGTTTTTGAGCGAAAAATGCGTTTGGGTTGTGACATCGTGGAAGCACAACAGTAAACGCAGACACGAGCTCAGATATTTACAAGGTTTATTAATAAATGTTTACAAATAATGGTTTAAGCAGATCTGATAGACCCCTTTCCGTGATCGCCGGAGCGATCCTTATCAGATTGAAGATCGGCTTGTGTCGTGGTCCTCACTTCTCAACCTCAGCATGCACACAGCTCAATACTGCCTGACCGCAGTCACGCGTGTAAAACTGTTCCACTACGGCGTCCCAACACAGTCGTCCCACAAGCATAGCTCCGCACCGCCCTCGGCGCCAGTTTTGTGCGTTCCCACGAGGTTTTCACGCAGCTCAAAACCCAGCAACGCGTCTCGCACGCTAGCTCATATACCTTGCACCCACGTGACAGGCGACGTCATCTTGTGTTCGCGCGGCGACTCCCGCTACGTGACCGCCGCTCTGCCACGCGCTTTTGGGCACCCCTTCCCATGGATATTTGGATGTTCCCAAATTACATCTGGGCGCCTTTCTCCGTTTCTATTCAAACTCTTTCTCGCCCCCCCNNNCCCCTCCCCTAGTGTCTGGACCTGCCAGCGCGCCACCTCGTCACCAGACTTCCTACCAACGAAGTTAGTTTCGCAATAGTTTAATCAACGCCTCCTAATCGCCATCTCTTCACGTGGCGTTAGTTTAATTTCCGCCATACTTACGAAGATGGCAGCGCTAAAACCCAAAAACGTTTTTGGAAATTTCTTTGAATCTTCTGGCCGGATCCGAAAACATCGGGAAACCTAGTTGCGTCGAAAGACACCTCATATGTCTCGATTGGGACGGGAGGTGGCCTAGCCGTGAGTGACGGAATTGCGTATACAAACACTCGCACTGGCTGAAAAATGGATTAGTTATAATGACGCGGACAGCCCTATTTTTCTATGAAACTAAATTCGTTAACTATGTTTCAAAGTCACAGTATTCTCTTGTACAGTAAATAAGAGTTTGAAAATTCGTGATATGCGATTATATTTACTCTAAATCGTAACTGCCACAGTACCCAACTACCAACTTGTAATTGTATTTTTTGATCATAATGAATGTATGAAATCACTGAATCTTTTTTAATGTCAAAAGCTTCTAGCGTACTCCTTGATCGATAGATCATATGGGCCCAATTAAGATATCAAAAATAACATAGGCAGTTATTTATAAAATATTTGAACTCTGAAGTGACTTGAGACCAGCCTGAAAACACAATTTGCAGAAAATACATTTAAAAATAAAAACCTTTTTGCTTGAAAATAGAGATAGCATATGCAAGTACTGAAGGATAAACGTATAGTGAATAGAACATTCATACTATAAAAATAATAGAGATGTGTTCAGCCAAGTGGATTAGTGATTACTTTAAAATTCCGCTGAGCTTATGTTTGCATTTGGATAATTCGAATTATTGACAAAAACATCTGTATTAAACATTACTGGTATAAATACATATAAGGGAATTTCATCTTACGTAGTCCTATCCTTACCTAATTCGGTTTCCAAGATCTTAATACTTTTACATACATTATTGGCTGTATTCATCAACAGTATATCCAGTTATTAGTGGTTTTTTTAAATCATGAATTGCAGTCCAAGGAAACTAACAAGGTAAGTGTAATACAATAACTATAGTACATTCTACTGGCATCAGTATTTGGTATATTTGCAGGTCAATGAGTTTTATTGTCTATTGCTTCTTTCGTAAATACAATGACGAATTAGAGCAGGTGAATAGACAATGCAATTTATAAGAGTATATAATCAGTCTGTGCATAGAGCTGACGGAAAGCAATCGCTGATAATTTGGACTGAACTATGTAAGTTTTAAAACCTGGAATTAGAGGAATGCAGAGTAGGTCGGGGTTACTAGAATATGACATTAATTTGACTGCAGTCCGTTCGAATGCAAAAGATCAATTTGCATGAAATACAGAGCACATAATAAAAGTGCGTTTTGAAATCAGATCAAATATATTTAGAATGAATAAAAACAGTTATGCGTTGAAGGTTTAAAATAAAATCCTGAACAGTTTATCCACACCAACATGTTACCCCCCTTACCCTTGGTTAATGAGAAGATAAAACATATTTTCACGTTGAAGTACAGTATTTTGACGTCTGCTCTACTTGGGAAGCTGTTTTATTTGTGACGTTGCGTTATTTCTGTATTTAATTTGTCCCACGCCTGGGAGAGCTATCTGTAATGTTGACGCCTTATTGGAGTGCCAACTAGATCAACTCTTGCAGGATACCTTGTTTCAGACGAACGGAGCGTTGACAATTTAACAAAAAAACACTTATTTCAGTTAAAACACAATTTTCATTTAATTACTGGAAGTTACAAAACTGAATTTCTATGAGCTCATTTCCTGTGTTATTATCTATTATTACGCTAATAAATTTAAGTCTAAAGGAAATTAAAGAGCCAGTGCGCGGCCATGCCATGTCGTAAATAAATTATCAAATTTTCCTTTTCATTCATGAGTCATCAAAAGTATTTTTCCCTGCGTTACTTGAGGTGTTTGTTTTACCTTTTGCATGGTTTCATACCGAAAGACTTCACCGTTTCCTTGAGCGCCGATAGAGTGCAGCGGTGGGCGTACATTGACGCGACAGCTGTTTGCTACTAGGGGAGGCAGATCCGGACTCTGCGGCTTCTCCGGCGGTCACAAGGCCGAGCATCTTTTTGACAGGTCCCAGAAAAGTTGGCTATTCACCACATACAACGTTGCGCGGACGATTTCAGATCCACGCTACACGTCACACCACTCATTATTGAACCCTTCATCTATTTGTCTTTAATTGAGGCGGCAGGTTTTGAATAATTCACGGAACTTCGTTTCGGTAATAATGATAATTGCTTTATGGTGGCGTGAGGCAACAAGCTTGGCTATAAAAATTAGAACAAGTGAATGCTTAATCGCGACTAACGTTCCTAGAGACCCTACTTTATCGTATACATTCCCGATTCGGTTAAGAATTACAAGTCCAGAATAGAACAATCGCACTGCGTACGAACGCGAACTTTCTCTCTACTATCCGCTTAACTCGGCAGTCGTGTCCTCTCTCTACTCTGCTTTCCGCTTCTGAAGTCTAGTCCCAGAGAGTATATATCAGAGACGGCACTCAATAAACGGAGAACCCTTGTTTTCGTGGAGGGGAGAAATTCGAATCCCTCGCCCCAACGGAAGCAAAGAAGCAGCCATTTTCGCCCACCGTCAGACAATAAGCGTCGAAAAGCAGTCTTCCAATTGAAATGGAGGACGGACGTGAACCGGGCCATTTGAAATTAGGTTTTTGGCAATTTTTTAATATGGCGGACATAGTTATATACTAAATAGAATATAATTTACGTATAAATTAATGCGCCAGGCGATGTAGAATATATATATATATATATATATATATATATATATATATAATAATATATAATATATTAATATATACTATTCACATATCACTTACATTATGTGACCAATAACTCACACTTTCAGTGACACTTGAATAATGATCCACATTTTCATCGACTGAAGAAATGTTATTACATAATTAGACAGGGAAGTCCATTGCAGGGGCGAGGGTTCTTGTTGGTTGCATTGTTACTTTATAATTTGAGCAATGCCTCCAACCCGCGACGATGCGTCGTGGAGGGTACAGGGGGGGGGTGAGAAGTGAGAACGGAAGTAGGATCGAACCATCGGCAAGTAACCAGGAAGCGACGGCCACGCGTCTCGAATGTTCCTTTGGGCCGAAGGAGGGTGGGGGGAAAGGGGTCCTCTCTGTCCTCGGAACGGTACACTCCACACTCAAAGAAGTACGCGTTGTGTGATAGTACCTAATGCTGATATACATTGAGCAAGAACTGCTTATAATTTTATATTAAAAATCCCTTGAACTTTGTTCCGCCATAGTAGGCAGCTGGAACCACGTGATAAGTCAAGAAAGAACTTTTATGTTATTTTTGTCTAATATTGTGACTTATGATAAGAGTCGGCGACATCTTCTGATTCATCACCCTGAGAATTTTTTTTTTTTGGGGGGGGGGGAGGCGGCCTTATTGCTCGACAAATAACTCTGCGCAGAGTATCGGTGTTACCGAATGAAATGAGGCAATGGAAGTATAAAACCAGAAATTATTTTTTCTTCTTCGCACTTACTAATGCAAGAAGAGAAAGTATTGTAATCGTGCGGCACAAAACCGCGAAGTTTAGTCACAAAAACTCTTATTACCGGGCCCTGGTAAGGAAAAAATGTATAAATCAAGTTGCTAAATATAAAAATAGGTTCCTCTAACACGTGGTTTAGCCAGAATTTTTGTTTTGTTTTGTTTTTTGTCTTTCATACCGATTGACGGCAAAACGTCTCTCCCAAAAAGGTCGTGTACAGTTTTTTTTTTAACTAGTAGTTTTGCGAATTTGGCCAGTTTTTGAAAATGTACCAGGGGCATCATGTAAAGTACCGCCCAAAATAAAAATATCGGTTTCAAATCCCAGGGTTAGCGGAATCAGCTAGAAAGATTGGGGAAAATCAATTTTGGAGAAAATAGGCTGAACGGTTTATACACTCTGGGTTTATATGTTAGCGTTTAGCACAGACGGACGGTCGTTTTGTCGTCAATCGATCAATTTTTCGATTTCAAGGACCCACAAAACATGGATTTTGGCTACACCACGTGTTGGAATGTTTTTTTTTTTAATTTAGCAACTGGATTTGTCCACTTTTTCGTTACCAGGACTTGGCAATGAATTTAAAAAAAAAAATTTATTTATTTACCGAGATTCCGCCGTTTTTTGCGCTGCATTACATAACTTTCCCATTACAACGTGTATTATTCCGTGTATACGTATGTATACGGGAAAGTAAAATCAAGTGTTTACTTCTGGGTTAAATATTCATGCGAATCAATCATATAGCAACAAATGTTAATTAAAACTTAGCAAACGAAAGAAAGTAAAATTACGTTTGTTAAAAGTCTTAACATTTATTTTTAATCGAAATCTGAACTGATAGTAATATTCAACCATCGAGATTTGGATTTACCACAGAAAACTGCTGAAAATGGTAATATGTCTGTTAAGGGATGGCAGATTTTAGTAATAACTAAAAATGCGAAATGTTACCAAACGCTGAAAAAAATAGTATCTAATTGTATGTTTCACGATCGGTGCAGTATATTTCCAAAGGTTTTCAATCGGGGATAAAATGCCAAATCACGCACAAAAAGCGAAACGGTCGTGATTTTGCCTCATATTTTATAAATTGCATTTTATGATTTCCTTCGTGGTCGCTTTCTAACAGAAAATTAGTTACTAGGAAGAAATGCAACGTCGACAACAATGCATTGAAGTTTGAAAACATTTCATTGGCCAATGGCTGTGCTTATTGATTTATGATTAAGATTCAAGTGACGAAACAAAGTTCGTCACTGGCGTAAAAAGTTCGTCGACGCACGTTAATTTCACGAATGGCGAACTATTGGATTAATTTTGTTTAATTTCCTATTTTTAATAGGAAAACTTAAAATTCATCAAAAAATTTTTTTTTTATTTCAGGGTCCTGAATACTAAAGCTGAACTGAAGTACTGAATGCTAAAGCTTAATTTTTATTGTGCAATAAAATGCTAGCGTTGTTTTCAAAATGCAATTTTTTTAAATGAAAGTGCTTAATTCTGTTATCACCATGATGATAAAAATAGCAATAATTATTTACATTTTTAAATAACCCTATATTTATTATAATTAAAAATTAATAGGTTTAATTATACTATAAAGTTTTGTTTAAGTTGGTATAATTCCTCCACTCAGAAGTGTTTTGGGACTATTAATAAATTTTCCCCCGGATATAATTGAAGTTTACTACTGGTAATATGTAGGTAAGGTAGGTTTCAACGACAATAATTATGTCAATTTCCTTAATTAATTCTTGTAAAAAGTTGACAATTCATAAATATATTCGGAGGGAGTCTCTTCTACTGGAGTAACACAAAAATTCCTTAAATCGCCTTTTTTTCGATGAAAGTGGGAACCAAATCTTTATTTATTTCATTTATTTATTTTTGTAATAAAGTAGCACCTTAGCATCATTTTTAAGGTCATGATAAATTTCTTTGAAACTATTTTCGAAATGAAAAGGTAGTGACTTGATTATGACTGATAGAATAGTGCCTCTTTAAAACAAAGTGAACGAGATGCGTAACTAAAACCTACACACACCGAAATGAAGAAAATATAATTGTGATTACGAGCTTGATAAGAAATACAAACTTCGGCAACCGCATAATATAGCGAAATGCTTACGCGCACACCAGAGGTTGCCACTCAACGCTCTCCCGCCACACCTTGTAACGTCATGCTGGACAACTGATAGAGTGACTCTCATCGGATTGATTTAAGAATTTTTATCAATCTTATGTTCGCCATTCACATTCGTTCATCGCTCTTACGATTCCAGAATCGATTCTCGAGTAATGGTTCTTGAAAATTCTCATTTGGGCGCGGTTTAGCCTCAGCATATTACCTCGTGAAGTCTCTTTATTATTATTATTATATTATTATTATTATTATATTATTATTATTATTATGTTGTTGTTGTTGTTGTTGAATTTGTGCTGCCAACTATGAAGACAGTCCATTTTAATTCTGTAATATGTTTGTACAGTCGTTCAGAGTGTTCCGAGAGTGAGCGCCAACCGTACCGATTCCATGATGCACTTATATATACTCTTTGCTTACTTCATGGTTTCTGTTCACTGAGCTCGTACTCGTACTATTATGACTGTTACAGTATATTATACTGTGCTGCTGAAAGTTATATTACTCTGTGGACTGGTTGTGATTGTGAGTGCGGTTTAAAATTTAAACGAGTTGGGAGATGTTCGAATGCTGTAAACAACCTGTTAAACAACGGCAGTTTGAAATGGTTTCGACATTCGGCGGAACCTTTGATAATGGCTCTTGTTGTGAGGTGCAGTGGTGAGACACGTGTATTTATTCCAGATATTATGTTTTTTGCATGATGTCTGTATAACTTAGACTTCTTGATTCTTTGTGAAACGCATCGCTTAAGTTTAAGTATTCGCACCATGACAAAAACATTGATAGTCCTCCGAGGGAGGGAAGAACAACAGTGCATGGTAATATTGTGCACGTATATTGATTTTAGTAATTGGTGTTTAAAACAGGCATTTAACTGAGTAACAAAATGGTTTTAATATTCTCTTTAAATAACTCCAACTACTCAAATCTAAACTTACTTAAGGGCAGTTTCTTTTAGTTTCTAAAATAACAAGACAAGTTTTGTCAGCTTTGCAATATAATGTAATTTCATGATGTCCACAAGATTGTCTTAATATTCAAATGCAATGCTTGTATCAATGAGGTACAGATGACTTCATCTTTAATTGCGGCTGTAGGGATGTGATACTCTATCCCCACCTATTTTCCTAAATCACAGGGAGCTAAACATTAGCATTGTGCCTGCACTTTTGATGTAAAGGTCATTGTGGTCAGCAGCCGGTGTATCTGTCAGATAAATTTAGTATTATAGACAGTAAATAGTATTATGAACAGTGTTCTGTACCTTTTGTTATTGATATTCTTCTAATTATTCTCATTTTAGTTGGTAAAGCAATCGTTCTGATCAATGGCCCACGACCTGGCTGAGCAACACTTCCGATCTTTGAAGATGTCAAAAAGTGGATTGATTCGTGGATCGCCTCCAAAGATGAATAATTTTTTCAACGCGGGATTTTGCACACTAGCGGAAAGATGTGGAAAAAGTGTGGCCAGCGATGGACATTACTTTTGAATAATATCTGTGTAAGCATTTTGTTCAATAAAGGGTCATATTTTTGAGAAAAAACGGCGGAAGCAAACTTGTATACCTTGTAGTTTTCTTTTGGTTTTGCTACAAATGATGATCTCTTCAAATATACTGGCACATATACAATGACGGTGCTTACGTATGTTCTTTCATGATTGCATGTAAGGTAACTAGGAAACAATTTTTTACTTGAATTATCTGCATGATGTAGCCAGAGTTAAGCAAGCTGTATTTCATGATAAGGATGAGCTTCATAAGTAGAAAACTAATAGCAACTTTAAGACTTGTAAATTAATGGTATACCTGCAGCATCATGCTTTTCTTGTACTGATGAATAAGATATAGAAAATTGGGAGAATGGAAAATGCTGCGACTAATTTGTTCTTTAGAATTTATTATTCAAACTATTTTCCATTTAGATTTTGGTATTGTAGAATGTTTCTTATAGTATAAAACAAATGGGTAATTCTTTTGTAGAATCTAACAAGATAGTTACAAAATATTTTTTACAAACCATTTTGTAATTTTTGTTGTAAAAAGAAAAAAGGCGGTTTACTTCTAGCCATTTACATTTCCTAAAAATACTAATGTATAAATGGAAATATTTTGGAATTTTCACATATCTCGCATGTATAAGGTAAGTTGAATCAATAAAGTAAGTTGTTTTAGGATAATAATAGTGTTAACCATCCAGTGAATCCATCACTAGATTTTGCACAGAGGATTGTGAGAAGTTGCTGATTATGGCTTGGGCGTTGTCTCAAGCTGCTATTTTAATATTTTGAAATGTTGAAAGAAGGAATACAGTTTATTTAGATGCTAGTGTTGAATTCGTGCAGCACACAGTTGCAATGAACAGCTGGTTAACCAGCAATTTTGTGTTGATTTTGTTGTGTTGTAAGTTACATACAAAAAGTTTAAATTGAGTGATATGTTTCTACAATCTTTCATCCTTCTTCATGTCACACCTATTGTAACTGAGGGAAGTAAACAATTATTGAAGATGTTTTGCATGAGTTGAATTAACTTTACATTTCGCATAATGGTACAAAAAATTGATCTTTCTGTTTCTTGTGATTAAATCTTATTTACCCTGAATCATAAATATAATTCATGATTTTAAGAATAATAATTTTAATACCATGCATGGTTAATGAGAATTACAGTATTGCTAAGAAATTGGAAGAGGTTTACAAGTATCCTAATACCAGTTGTTGTTTTTTTGTTTAGGAACTGTGACTCGCCTGATTTGTAAGTAAAAGGATAATTTGCGATGTGAGGTGGTGCTGGAGGACCAGTTCATGTTTTGTTGTTTAACATGAGTGCCTCACTAGGATTCCATAGAAATGAAACAGAATCTAAACAAATTTCTGCATTTTTTCCAAAACAATTTGAAGTCTATGCTCTGGAAGAAGCTACAAAAGTAAGGAAAGTGAGAGTTCAATGCTACGTGTGAATTCGTTGTGAAATTGACAAGTGATGCTTGTTTGAAGAAAAATTTATTCTCAGCAGCTTTCTTAATGTATTCTGATGTAACTGAAGTTATAATTTAACTTATGAATTGAAAGGACATGTGACAATATTCAGATGGTTTTCAATTTTTGAAATTTTGGAGGAATCTATTGTGGAAAGTTCTCTGTAGGTAAGTTTTCTATTTTTTAAAACATTACTTTATTACATGAAATGTATTTCTACATAAAAATGTAATTTTTTTCAGATTTTGGTGTGTTGGTTCACTGTAAATCTGTGATCTAGTGCATCTGTGGGTGTTTATTCATACTGAACAACTTGTTAATTTGTGATGCGGTGAACCAAGTGTTCCAGTGGTAAGCAGAGTACTATAGTATAGTACAGTGAATACAATAGACAGCAACCTGCACCCTGCTAAACCATCTCATATGGCCTGCAGGTCTTAAACTTTTTGCTCATTGTAAATAAAACTGGCAAGGTTTTTAATTTATATTTTACATACCACAAATTCACTCTTCTTTCCCCTGAACAAGTAATTCTGAAGTATTTGTTGTTTCATTTTGGACTATTGCATGCAACAACTTTGCTGCCAACAATAACATCCTCCAACACCCTCCCCCTCTCTTCCATCATGGCAATCCCTGTTTTGCCCATCTTTCCTGCATCTCTGAATTTCTGTAACCTTGAATGGGATTCAACAGGTAGCTCCTTCTAGTCTTGGTAACTCACTTGTGATTGTAAAGGAAATTTTCCATATAGAAGTGTCAACTAAACCTCTCAATCCCATTAATAACAGCTAATGTTCAATTCTCTTAGAAGAGGAAAAAAGTCACGACAGGCCTTTAATGAACAATAGATACCAAATTACCTTTTTATATGAGTCGGAATAATAGAGTTTATTTCATTTGTTGAAAAAGTGTGTCTGTTTTCAAAGAGTCCAATTTGAAGATATTGCTTAGAAAGTTAGTTCAACATATGCAGCTCGTGAAATTTGGAGGATGGGGCCCGTGGGTATGAAAAGGTTGCCGACCCATGGTGTGTGTGTGTGTGTGTCAGAAAAAGGAAGCTATATGAAGATTTAGCTTTCATATTGTGACATGTTTATTTTTTCATTAGTTGATAGTACATGCAGTAAGTCAGAAAGATATTGTTACAGTGAATTGTTACTGGTGCCTTGTTCTACCTTCGGTTTAATCTTGGTCAGACGTGTTCAAGTAACATTAATAAATTGTATTCAAAAGTTTATATCATTACTAATTCACTCTACTTGTAAACTGCTATGCAGATCTGTATTGGAGGTAGTAAAAACTTTGGTTGCATGACGTGACTTGAGAGTTCTGATGTAAAATGTTATGAATATACAGTATATGAAAAGTATCAAAGTTGAAATTCAGAAGTGTTATGTTTGTGCACATTAGTTTAAAAGATTTATTTTGTGTTTTTAATATATATTTGAAGGGTTTGAGTATCATGGATGATAGTTCTCAGGATTGTTGTTTATGATATTATATATTTGAAATTCCTGCAGTGCATTCTCTATGCATTGAGACCCTGAAATAGTTCAATCTAGGGCTTGCAGATTGCCCCTGGATTTTGTAATTTTTATATATTTTATGAAATCAATTTGATGTGTTCACTTGCTTATATCTTGAAAGTGTTTCAAGTTTTACTCCAAAATACTTGATTATGAGGTTATGATAATTAGAACTTGTCCATCTACTTTTTAAATTTTTTTTTTCTTTTCTATTTTTTGTTTTTGATAATGAAATGGAAAAAATGAATGCTTCTAAAAGTGAATATGCATATTAACACGTTATATCTTTACCAGATGCATTCAATGAACAGCAACAAATGCAAAACAAACTAGTCTAAAACATTGCTGTGCTGTGTTCTGCCCTGCCCTTGTAAAGTACTTCGCAGATCCATCACAGTGGTAACGACGCATTAACTGTCATTCACGATATGTTCATTGGTGGCTTCCATTACCCACATATACGTTACAAGTAACACTTGCTAGTAAACCATATCTAAGTTCACGTTCGATAACCACGTGCCGTAGAAATGCAGAACAGGGTTCGGTTCCTGTGTAAGCGCTGAGAATGACTTGCTTGGGGCGCAGCCACAGTTCCGCGGCCGACGCACTTCGCCGTGGAATCATGACGCTTCCCACGCGTTTCCGAGGTGAGGACGAGGCTCTCGCGTTCACATAAAACATTCTTAGAGTTTGTCCAACGCATTTTATGCGAATACTCGCCTTACAAGGCTTTGGGCGTGTAAATTTCCCTTATATTTTGAAGGAAATTCATTTCTTCGCTGCCCGCAACCTTTCTCCGCACGTATTCCGCCAAATATGAAAAAGAAGAAGAAAATTAAAAGCTGGTTAGTTGCAGCGTGACAAGGGAGGTTTCTTTGAATAGCACTCCCCGTGCCTTCTATTGAATTCGTATCTGCACCTATTACGGTATGCTTAAATACAATAGTGATTGACTCTTAAATGCTTGTACCCTTCGTCTGCCAAGCAATCATACGCTTTCCAACAGTCAGAAATTATTATTGTCCCTGTCTCAATATAATTCTTAATAATATCCAGTAGAACTTCCATTGTTCTATTTTGTACTACTTTAAAAAAGCAACGGTCCGTGCCCCTCTCTATTCCACCATCCCGAACTTGCTCTCGCCACGATTTCATCTTTTCCTCCTAGCTTAATATTCTCCCCCACTTCCACACAAACTTCGCGACAGAAGCTTTTCCAGTCGCTCACTGTAAGGTTTGAAATTCCACAGTCACGATATGTTCATTGGAGGCTTCCATCACCCACATGCATGTTACAAGTATAATTTGCGATATTTCTAATTAGCTTTCGCTAAACCTCGAGTCCTTCCTAATTGAAACTTTAGTGTGGTGAGCGTTCCCTCCGAACTTTCTGCAAGACCACTCGTAACCGTCTCGTCGTTCTTAGCGCTTTTTTAACACCATATAATCATGGCATTTACTACACACGCACCTCGCACTAACGAATTATTTTACTTGACACCACCTAATTATCTGCAGTTTGGTTTCTTACCGCAAATCGGCGAAGAACACGCCATTAAAATTTTCCATATCACCAAGGACCAACGCACACGGTGTAAGATACAGTATGTGCCACTGTTATTCGTACAGGTATGGTTGGGATACAATAGAAGGTCACATGAGTTCGATAGTTTGAGGAATCAAATTTATTGTTCTTTCTGGAGTGTGTCAGTCATAATGTCAATATATATATATATAACCAGTCTTACAGCAACTAAGGAACATAGATAATAAAGATCAATGAAACGATAATACATCAAAAACTAGTGTCATTACTATTCCTACACTTCACTAATTCACAATGCATATTCAACACAAAAACTACTCTAATGCTTTGTGAGATATCCCCTTGCTTTAATAACTGCCTGACATAGATCGAACAAGATTGCATTTCATCCATGCCTCAGCTATTGCCTTTTGCAAATCCTCCATGTTGGATACATTCGCTTTACGAACATTACTCTTCAAAATTGCCCAGATGTGTTCTATCCGTTTTAAGTTGCTTTGGCACGTTCCATATCACCCATTCCTTATTAATTCCTGCAGTATGCTCGCTATCGTTATCTCGTTGGAACATGTAAGCTGCGACACCCAACTTTGCAGCATTTTGTTTCACATTTGTTCTGGGAAAGTTGTTATATACCTGCTTGACCATAATACCTTCAACAAAGTGCATATTGCCGACTCCTCTGGACTACATAGACCCTAGATCATGACTGACGCACCTTCGTGCTTCACTGTGGGGAGTGTATTAAACATGTCATTGTCACCATTTGCTTTTCTCCATACTCTGTGAATGTCATCTGAGCCGAAAATGTTTATCTTCGTCTCATCCGACCAGATGACATCCCAGAATTTTTCGTCCTCGACGGGTTCTTTTGCGAACTGTAATCTCGCAGCCCTATTCTTCTTACTAACATAAGGCCGTTTCCTAATAACTCGGCCATAATACCCATGCTTGTACAATACTTCAAATAGATGTAGTTACACGTTTACCAGTCATATTTTCAACTCGAGATTGTAGGTGCGGCATGCTCCAAGTGTGTGTTCGTGCAATCACCCTCACGATGATGCGCTCATCTCTCTTGTTCAGCTTTTTGGTCTACCCGTTTCTCTTTGCATTCTTGATAGAAATTTGTTTACTAGATACTGATTAGTGGAGTGTAATCTGTTCACCACTTTTCCAATCTTCCTTAGGGAATATCCTCTTAAAGCCAAGTTCACAATGACCTTAAGATCCGCACTCGATTTCATTGTCTTCGCCATATTCACGTTTATCGACTTCACGATCTTGTCACGGATGTTGCGAACCTTTCCACGAGGACAACACTTCTCTACTGATAAAACTAATGTGCTCTGACTGCGTTTTGTCCCGAAATTTAGATTACGTAGTTAATGTGTACGAATAAGAGTGGTACATTATTTCCGCACCTTACTAAGCTTTTAATTCCTAATTTTGTATTACGCATTCGTTCTGGAAGTTCATAGTACATACCATATTTTACAGAGGTTTCTCTCTACTGTGAGAGTGGAAATCGTTTATTTACCCGAATGCGACATAGAAAATAGGAGATTGCGTTTCAAACTTACCGTGTATGAATACCATTCACACATCCTGTATATCATACACCGTGGCACAAGGGCACCTTCCCGCTCCTTTCTCATGGTCCGCGCGTGTGAACCGTGCGCGGATTTCTAGTGAGCTGAACCCTGTTCTGCACTTAAGCCGTGTAGACAAATTCTTAAATACAGTAACTACTCTACTTGTTACATAGTGCAAAAATTGTCACGTGTTCACTCATCCTTGGCGTTTAATTGTCTTCAAAATCACGCTTCTGCCTCTTTCGAGAGGAAAAATAGAAGGTCCTGCGCGCGGGACGTTCTGGTGCAAGCTCGCACCTGGGATGGGGAGCGCTTGTCTGCGATGGGCATTCGGCCGCAGGAGAATCCGCCGCGCGCCACTTGCAGTGCGGTGCACGTCTATGCAGGGGTGGGGTTCTTTGTGCGGCCCCAAGCACGACAATGCCGCATGGCGGGATTCTTTCCCCTTCAGCTGTTCGTATGCAGGCAGCGGATTTCCGTCGCCAGTTCACGAAAGCTTCTCTGCCACCACAAAGCTCGATTCATTAGATTTCGCCGACGGTTTACCTGAGCCAGTTCACTAACCAGTTGCTTCGACCGCAGATGACCATATGAACGTCTGACATGTAGCGTGATGTAGGCAGGCTCGCGTCGTGCTGCTCGGTGGATACCTTGGATAGTTAGCTTTTTGTTGTTTAAAAAGTAAAACGCTCTGCGTGCGATAACTGCCAAACACTGTTACTAACCTTCGGTTTCGCCGAAAAGAAAAAAAAGCGACCGCTGTTGATTTTGTAGACCTGCCACTCTGCAGTAGTGTTTCCTTTAGTTGCCAAATGCTCTGATTTGCATGGTATTGAAGGTTTTTATTTCTCCAGAGAAATGATGAAATGTCGTTTGCTCCATTCGTCATTCCCATTTGGCCTGTCAATTTTTTATAACTTTATTGGGAACAATATTGATGCAATGTTATATAACATAATTTTTTCCTTAATTTACTTATAAACTACTTCATGTTAAACCCATTCGCTTGTTTATTCACATACTATCACGTTCTACTATAGCGATAATACACTGAACCGATATATATTTTTTTTACATTGCTCCGCATTTTATTTCAAAATTGGCGCCACCCATAAATACACAATTTGAATCTCCTTGGAATAAATGGCTAGACCAGTGCCATCTCTTGTTTACAATCCGTGCTGTTAAATGTGGCCATGCCAAGACAACAGATCAGTGGGCTTACGTGTAAAATCGGCCCAGGCTTACCCCCATTTAACTAACCTAACAACTGATGATATTGCAATAATTCAAGAAAAAAAATACAAAAAACAATTAGTTTCACAAAATGACTTTTCTAAAATTTAATCATTTTTTACTATCTGAGAGCCATGCCAGGGAAT